CCGCTGCACGCGTTCCACACTTACCGTTGAGCTCACTGCTACTTTCATCCGATACTAAATTTGGAAGTTCAAGCTGCCATTGCCCATCTGTCACAATTGCAAAATTTTCGCATTTGCCCGCAGGCGATTTCGCCAGGCGAAATAACTTTAACGAAAATCCGCCAATTCCATATTGATGTGCCTGCTCCTTTAGTCCTAAAAACTCCGTAAGATGTTTTTTTAGTTCAGATACTCCTCTATGAGCTTCTTTGTCTACTGGGACCCTGCTTCGATGACGTTCGATGGCGACTTCTTCACCTTTTCGAAAAAAACTCACGATGACTTTAGCAATCCCAGTCATGACCCGACCGCATGAACAAACAACGAGCAATAAAAAGACAACAGCAGGGCGTCTCGTCGGCTCGATTGTGATCTGCTGTTCTTGAAATGAGACAGCAGGGCGTCTTGTCAGCCCAATTACGAGCCGCTGTTCTAGAAATGAGCCCACGCTGCTCACCGAAAAGAAGGATCCCGTGGATTTAAAGTAATTTGAAGACAAGAAATTCTATAATTCGGCTAAATTTGGAATTAATGTGGTTACGTCAAGTGAAGAAGGATTTTCTGAGCTAGAAATCATCAAAATGCTGTTCTTTCTGAATACAAACATCCCTATCACGTCTGACCATGTCGGTTGTCGGTTAGAATTTATTTGTCGCTAGTCGGTAATTTTTTCCCCGTTTCGTCGGTAGTCAGTAATTTTTTACGCCCTTTGTCGCTAGTCGGTTAACCCCATTCACACCCTCTTATGATATTAATAAAAAAAGACCTTGTATTCAGATAATTTTACTTTATAGGTTGATATGGGCTTAGAATGATTAATTTCATGTAGTGGGAAGCCAAGTTTGTCTTAGTTTATAATATCACCTTCATCTCCTTTCGCTAAAAAAACCGTTATTGAATGTATAAATTAGCAGTTAAGATGTCAGCTATTGTTTTGAAGAATCACCTTTTGCCTTGAACACAAAGGAAAAAAACAGTTCTAACCCTCGAAATTCGTGTTTCTGGCGATTTATGAATTGTATAATCGGCATTATATGTGAATTCTGCTAAAAAAAAAGGCAGACGGTCATTCAGAAACAAAGAAAGGAACCAAGAAGAAAGCTTTGAGATTATTGATTTTGCCTTCGCTCTCGTAGATTTTCCTGTGGTGACATTTCTCACAGTTCTTCTTTTTGTGTTAAGAAAGAAGTTAGGCACATTGTTGCCAAATGTCCACCACTGCTTGCCCATTTTACGGTAGCTAACAGTTAATTTCTTGGACGATTTTATGTTTTGAAGTAAATAATATTTGTGCCAAAATAATTTGATAACAAATACAATAAAATTAGTAATACGCGCGTCTGATTGGCTCAAAACCAATGTAATTTTCATGTGAAACGAGCGCAAAGTCATGACACGAGTGCGAATTTTCGTCCGTCTTGACTTTCTGTGATGCGTTTTTCGTGTAAACTATTGATAGTAACTACATGATTTCGAGTGCAATTTGGTGTAAATAAGCACTTGTAAATTTTTCAAAGACTACAAATTGCACGAGCCCTACGGGCTCGTGCAATTTTGTTGTCTTCGTAAAATTTACTCTTGCTTATTAACACCTAATTACACTTGAAATCATGTTGTTACCTGTACAAAGTATACTTGTATAACTCTAGAGGTTTTCTAGATCATGTTTATTACGTAGTCTAAACGTGAGTGAGGAAAGGCCGAGTTTGTATCATATGACTTTTAAATTAATTACGACTAGTGATCGCACCGAGTTCTTGTTTGATTGCGTTGCTAGTCTGTTCAGTATGAAATTTCATAGCAGACTTGAATCATTTAATTGAATT